ATTATCAACAGTATGTTGCCAACGAAAAATTTCATTTACAATCGTTATAGATAGATTGAAAAGTTCGGCGGTTGCGCAAAGATCACACCTGAAATTCTGAAAAGCGGTGGAACGATCCTCGAACGAATCACTTGAAGAGGTGCACTCTGTGGCTCTTTAACACGGGATCAAAGCTTCTCGACGCTTCGAGTCTCCCAATTACAACCAATTACCCGCAAAAACTCCATCCTCGGGGATCGAAACTCTCAATTACACCAACCACCAGTCTCCAATCTACTCTCAATCTCGAAACTCTTGTAAAGTACTCGAACAACAAACCGAGACCAGTTTCCGTGGAACAAAAAGCTAGAACCGAAAAATGAAAAAATAAAGAACAAAGTCTCTCCGCTGCTTTCTCAACGATAAAAATCTCGTTGTTTCGTTTCCAAGTTGAAACGGATCGAAGTTTCGACCGCGTGAAAATACGATCTCTCAATTATGCTCGTTGAAAAGCACCGAGAAAAAGCGGAACGATCGTGCCATTCAGAGGATGCACGCGATCGTTTCTCTCTCGCGAGCATTATCGTCGAACGCAACGTGAATTTCTCTCTTTGCGAAATGTGGTAACGGTATAGTGAGAAAAAGATGTTAAAGAAAAAAGGAAAGAAGGAACGAAAAAGATTTGTATCGGGGTGACGAAGGAATTGGAAATTAAAATTGGTCGGCTGACAGGTTCATAATGCGCGCCTTAGCCGGACCGTGAGAAACCGACATCCGTTCGTGTGTTATTTTTGCCGGTGATCCATGGATCGTGACCGCCTTGGCTGATCGAGAGACGCGAGCCGCGGTTTCGGTTCGTTAGCGGATTAATCGCGGCTCGAATTAATGCCGGCGCAACTTCTTGCGCCGTTCCATTGCGATTTTTCCGCGGTCCCTGGTGACTGATTAAGTCGCACCGAGGAATTGTGTAGGGGGCAGCATGCGAGGAGTTGAGGTTAGGTTGGATTTTTGGGACCGTTTTGGAAAATTTCTTTCAGAGGTATTTTCTTTTTTCAAAGACCTTTTTATTATGGTTATAAAGAGATAAATCATTGATACACTATTTACAATGTTTATTGATAAAACTTGGGACTTAAAGTACAGAATTAAGATGTTAATGATTTTTAGAAATGGCGGACATGATTTTCACCTCGACTTAGTTGGTGAATAGCTAAAAAAATTAAGTAAATGGCAATATTTGTTTCAAGTGAGGTTCTATTTATCCGGTTTGATAAATACAGCACTTTTGAGATGTCTGTTTGGTGCACATGTGTGTACTAACTTTATTTAGCTTTATCTTGCAAAAAAAAATCCTGTCATAAAATTCTAGAACTTGTGAAGCAATGCAAAACTTCTCCAAATCAATACTTGGCGAGATATTTCAAATTTTTGATAAAGAAACATTCGAACCTCGTTAGCAAAATTTTAATAATTGCAACTTGGAAAATAATCCTGTCACTGGATGACTTCTTAATTCTTTGAAGCACGGAATTTTAAGACAAAAACAGACTCCAGTTGCACAGGAATTTTATTTGAAAAAAATGTAACAAAGTAGGTATGAATTGCGACATAAAACGAAAACTTAAAAAAAAAATGTCGAGATAATTAATTATTAGGTGGGACATAAATAATCTCGCCATGAAATTTGTGAAAACAGGTTAAATTAGATCAGTTTTGTTTTCTTAATGTTTCAAGGTGTAAGTACTAAAAAGGTGGGACACTTTTTACCCCATTATGCCCCAAAGAGTTAAATAATGCAAAATTTGTCTAAATTAACGCTTCGTGAGATATTTCAAATTTTGATCCTGTCCTAGGATAACTTCTTAAACAGTGCAAAAGTTTTCTAAATTAACTCTTCCTGAGATTTTTGAAATTTTTGATAACGAAACATTCATATCTCATTATCAAAACTTAAAAAAAAATTGTGTCAGGATACCATTAAAATTTTCCTCCACAATTTTCTCTAACTCCACTCTATCAAATAACGCAAACTAAACAAACATACCACCTCTTACAAAATACCCAATTTCCCAATACCTCTCATAACCTCGTTCAGCAAAAATGCACTCGGAAACGGCTAAAGGTTCGCGGAAGTCCGTTCTCCTTTCGCGGTGGTCAGTTTCTGAATCTGTCCTCTCTCTCTCCTCAGAGACAGAAAAGGTGCTCGCGAAACTTGGTATCCGGCAGCTGGGAAAATTCGCACTCGCCCAGTGCTGCCAATCGTCGAACGTAGGAAACGGCGGAAGCCTGCAAAAGTCGAGGAACGGCGGCGGACTGCTTCCTGTTGCCGGTCACTGTTAACGGCGCTTTTCGGCGCGCATCCGCTCCTGGAGAAAGCGTATCGGCCGATGCTCCTTGCGTCCAGGCCACTTCCGCTCGAGGAGCGTGTGGTTTCCGGTGCGTGGCGCACGTACGATATCGACTACGATACACAACCGCTTCTGTGCGCATATCGATAGTCAGTTGGAAGTGGGCCGCCGCGAGTGACGGTTGTGGTTCACGTTTCTTCCTCCTTTTTCGATCGGATAATCTTCGGTTCTTTAAACTTATCTATACTCGAATTGCAATTGAAATTATTCGAATTCCGTGACACTGTTTTTCTGATTGCAACTTTGATTACCATCGCAGTGACAAAGATTTTGTGGCACTTGTCGAAGCAAAGAATCGCTCTTTTTTTTCTTTCGGCAAGTTTTCTTTGCGAAGTTGAGTATGGAGTTGTAAGAAATTTGAATTATAATTGAAATTGCGCGAATTTGTTTCTGGGGAAAAAATTTTGTGGCACTTTTGGGAATAATAAAAATCGTTGATTTTCTTTTTGGCAATTTTTCTTTGCGAAGTTGAAACTGCAGTTGTAAGAAATTTGGATTATAATTGAAATTCAAATTTAATTTTTGTGGCACTTTTTGGAGTAATAAAGATCCTTGATTTTTTTTTTTTTGGTAATTCTTTGTGAAGTTGAAAGTGGAATTGTGAGAATTTTATTGAGTGACAGAGGATATTTTACAATTTTTATTCGAATACGAGGATTTTAATGACTGAAGACGGTTTGATATGACGAATTGTGACGACGGTTGTTTGTTTTGTTTGTACCGAAGAAATTCGAATCACTGTCAGCGATTATAGTACGTCGGAGACTGTTACATTCTAGACTCTAATTACACTGAATGAAATCTAGTTCTGTTATCCTTCGTTTGAGTCACCCGAATATAATTCTAAACTATGCATCATGAACGAAGTAGATAAAATGCTATCTTCAACTGTCACAAGTGTAACTGTCAATTCTTATCAACTTCCTCCAAACTTCCACGTTAAATTCTTTTATCAAATCAGCTGTTTCCTGCAATTAAAGATATTTAAAAATATACAACAATTTTCAAATATCTCGTCCACTTTGCTCAAACTTTAAATCAAGTTGACAACATCACTAATATAACAACTATAAATTTCTTCAAAAATTAAATAAATAACTTCGAAAAATTCCAAAAGTAGAATTGCTTATCGCTCCACAAATAAAATAAATAAAAATTAACAAAAATTCCACCAAACTCAGAGATACTAAAAGTATCTATAGCAAACTACAAAGCGACCATTTTTTAACCTAATCAACAAAGAAAAAATACTGTAAAAATTCTGCAAAATCGACATCCGCTGTTTTAATTGCAAAAGATTGAAAACTGAATCGAAGGGAAGTCGATAAATCCAGAAATCCTGGACAACACAGATCTCGCCTCGATCTCGCATGGATCATTGGGAATGGCGGCGTTTCCAGGCTGGGAATACCCTAGACGCAGCCTGGGAATATCCTGGCAACACTCCCGCATTCCGGATCGACGAGTCGAAGTTATGAAACTCCGAAGTGGAAACGCTCGAGCTGCCACAAGAGGAGGTGGTTTTGCATTTCAGTTTCTCGATCGAATTCCATCTTTCCTCTCTCTCTCTCTCTCTCTATCCGCTTCGATATCCGCCACGTTTCGCCATCTTTATCTCACTC